AGATTTAAAACTTGGTCTTTTTTCAGATTTCGCGTACACGAATACAATAAAAATTTCTTACTTTCATTACTTTATTTTCACGATTAATTAAATACGCACAAACTTACCGACAAACTTTCGCCCTTGTAAAATTATGGACAAATCAAGAAATTATTTCTATCGGGCGCAAGTAGAAAATCCGAATACCTGACGAAATCGGGAGCAGTCGAGGAGAGGAAAGAGAATAGGAGGATTATCGGTTGCCAACTTCTGCTTAATTTCTTCTCTTTGATGATGTTTACTTCCTCCTAATCCATTAAGCGGTCCGTTAGCGCAGCGACGTATTTTCCTATTTTCCTGCTTTCCTTTTTCTCTCTGTACCATTCTCTCCAACTTTCTTCGCCCACATTCATCCTCGCTGCTCTCCCTATTCTCTCTTCGTTGGCGAAGCTTCTCGACGAGCACGTTCGCATCCTTGTAATCGGAGGCTACCACCAAATTCGATACACCGATCACGCTTCTGTCGTCGACAAGGAATCCCATTTCCTGCACATGCGAGCCTCGTCTTCCAAGAAAATCTTTCCTATATCCTGCCAACGCTTCCTACTGCGGAAAGATATCCTCGTTATTTAACGCATGTTGAAAATATCAATTTCAGATTTTAGCTGTAATATTTGTTATTGTTTATAACATTAAGTAACTAGTAACGTTAAATTATTATTACTTACATTTTACAATATAATTTTTCTCTTTACTTTTTGATACAATTCTAAATTTAGAATTTTTGGAAATTAATGAACGCGATATGTAACATTTACCTTTATAATTTTAACATTTATAAATCATTGAAAGAGTTAAATAATTTTGCTTAAAAAATTATTCTTTGGCGTAACGTATTGTAAGATAAAATCTATTTAAATTGTCGAAAGACATTGTTAAATGTTTATTACATATCATATAGCATTTATATCATTGTAACGCAGTGTTTGAGATACGGAAAGCAATATATGATACTACAATCTTTATTTCTCGTTAGTAAATACCGAAACGCGGCTTCGTCGTTAAGTTTCATCTATACGAGTATATTTTCCGCTTCTACAACTCGAAATGCGAAATTTGCCTTCAGAAGTCGACGGAGGCCATTAGCTCGAAGACGACGGGCGTCGCGTAAACATGTTATTCAAATTCCGTCTTCATATCCGTTTTCAGTGCCTACGTCAGTGCCCTTGACGAAGGGTCTCACTACGTGAGACGTCGAGGTCGAAGAGTAAGCTGCGAGAACAGCGCGAGAAACCTGTGAGAACGCAAATTGGAATGACGAAGGGCGTTGAAGGGTCGACGCGGTGGATTCTGCACGATGTCGTTGCTAATTGCTATTCAATTAGTCGGGATTATATCTCGAATCCTTGGATCCTTCTACATTCGTCCTAATGTGTCTGACAATCTACATGTCCCCTAGAGAATGCCTTTTTGATCACTATAAAGTAAAAGTAAGTTTTATCAATTGTAATAAAAGAAAGTCTAATATAGGCTACAATAAAAGTGATCAATGGAATTATATCTAGTTGTTAGTACCTCGATGCTTTTTCATTGTTGATCATTGTTTGATAACTTGAAAATATTTCGATTAATTTTAGATATTAATTTTAGATATTTATTTATTAAAATTTATAATACGAATAATATTTTAACGTGAAAATATTATCACTTTATGAGATATATTAATTATAATAAAAATTTCACATTGATATTGTTATGGTATAAAAAAAAATGTTGCCACAGTTGGACTCATTCTCTTTGTATACCTGGCAGAAAGAGTTATTGGGATAAATTATTTAATATTATTGTCAAGACTTTATCATCGGTCAATTTTTCTACATTAAAAATACTTTATCGCTTATTCATATTATCCTGTTGCGTTTATATTTTACCAACGCGTAATTCTATTTTACTTTCAACTTTTAATACAAGTTTGACGTTGCAAATAGTTAAATTAGGCCATATTAAGTTAGAGCGAGATGAAATCTTGCGTTATTACTTTGGAGAAATTCGTTAATTAACAGACTGTAACTAAAACGATCTGCATTTTTTTTATTGGCGATATACACGCTTCGTGTAGCATTCCAATTCCGGGGCGAAGTACATGGTGCCGAATACCGGTGTGAGTACGCGCGCGCACGCACGTGTTCCTGTGTACGCTTTGTGTGTGTGTGTGTGTGTATGTGTGTGTGTGTGTGTGTGTGTGATCGATTTGCGAATTCGCACGCGCGTTTTTGCACGACCGAGCGGAATGACCGTTTTTACGTTTGAAGCGGCCTTTCGGCGAGATGCACTAGCAATTATCCTAAATGCAGCCTCCCGTGGGTGAAGAGCGCGACGACAGCAACAGAGCAGGGGGGAGGATCGGTGTTAATTACTTTATCTGTTTACAGATCCCGCCGAAAGCCAATCTCGACGGAAACGATCAGTTTGCGCCTCTTTTTGGGGAGGAATATCCTACAGCCGTCTACGCTAAAAGTTGTGGACGCGCTACGATCGAAGGTAAAGGAATGAGCGAATGAGCTTTACAGTTCTTTCAGAGTTGCGTAATAGAAGAATTTTACACTAGGTGAGCATAGATATTTTCTCAATATAGGTCTAACCTTACTTAACGTTTAAAAATGTCAATCTTTTTGAAGCTAGCTCACGTTAACTTTATAGAAGACCCAATCTAAGTTACCTTTTACAATTTCTGCTTAAGCAAATCGTTTAAGTATACTCATGCGGAATCATATGATATAATTCGTTGAATTTTGCAACACTCGTGGCATTGACGACGCTTTTGAATTTCGAGTTTCTAGTTCGCGTTTGTTCAACCGGATATAGCGAATTCCGCGGAATTTCCGTCAGATGATTGCACGAGGAAGCGAACGGAAGAATTTTATATGGTATACTGGATCATGGCTGACTTTGTTCGACAAGTGAGACACGGTTTTATTTCACAATCTCTTTTAAAACAATATTAATATTAATTTGCCACTTTATAATAATTTATTCTTAACTTAAATATAGTTGAAATAGTTACAATTCTTTTTTCTTTTTCTTGATTGTACTTACAAATAATTTTTAAGAGACTAAATTGTCAATTTTTCTAAGCAACATTGCTTTAAAGGTTTCTTTAAATTATAAATCTTCCGCTTTTTCTTTTTCTCTATTCCTTATCAGCTATTTTAGTTTCCTTCACCACAAGTGAAGTTGTTTTGAAGTGGCCAGGATCACAAAGGATAGGCTTCAATTTTATAGGATGTACTACAATCTCGTAGGTATTTCCCGTATATTCTCATTTTTAACATGCCTCTTTTGTTGCAACAGATTTATGCGTAGCTGATCCCAAAAGAGGCAAAGCATTTTTCATTGACTAATGACGTGTATTTTATGTATTAGACATATTTGATGTGGAATACATGTATAGTGTTGTACAATCAATAATATATAGTAACAAGATATCTTTTCTCTCAGAATCATATAATGCTCTGATATGACGATTTCCAGTTATCTACTATCTATCTACTATTTCCCATTACTTAGATTAACAATGTAAACAAGTAAGCATAACATTGTAAACAAGTAGGTCAAAATGCGCAAGTTTTTTCTGACTCCAGCAATAGTTGTAATTCGTCGTTACAATGTTTACTGCAAGAAGAACTAACACATTACGTCACAGAAAGATCTACGAGCACACAGTCGCAACTGCTAAGAAAGGCAAGTTTCCAATTACGAAAGTACGGAAACCAAGTTTATCTAAAGAACTAGGAATTAGTGTTCCCAAGGTGCAACGGAAGAGTCAGAACCACGTTTTTGTAAATTAAAAGGCTAGCATGTGTTAAAAGAAACGACAAAGTGCAAGAAATATACATAAACAAACAAGATTTTGAATATCATACAACTTGAGATAAATAGAAAGTTCATTTTTGTAGAAATTTACATTAGAAAAATTGGTATAAAAATTATTAAATATGTATAGTTGTTTTATTTATCAAAATAGAACAGACCAAAAAGTTAGATAGATACTACAAGAAGAGAGAGAGAAAAAGAAACATAGAAAGTGATAACGAACGGGTTTAAAGGTACAAAGAGAATTCGATTTACTATGCGGTAGAAGACCGAAAGAGCTACTTTTGCGGATTTCAACGTCGATTCGACGGACATCATATATGGCTTTGCAGTTTCGCGACTCGATTAATGGTGAACCCAACAATAATTCCAGCGGAAGCTGCACCGGCAAGCATGCAATTTACAATCATTACCGGCGATACCTCCGACAAAATGCTCTCGTTATTTCGAATTCTGAGAACTTGTGCGATCGATACATGTCAGCTCATATTTGGAAAACCAAATAATTACTTTACGTAGAATAAAATTTCAAGCATTCGAGAGATTTATTGCAATAATAGAAATTCATTCTCTTATTCTCTCTTATTTTAATAATATATAATTCAATAATATATTTGACAAAGCAAAAGCAAATAAAACAAATAAAATATTTGAAAAAAATTGCTAGTAGAGAGAAAGAAACATTTTTTTAATCTTTTAATTCGTCGTACTAGACACGCACTGCCAAGAATATATATAAACAAAGTTTCATTTCAAATAAATTACGAAAGTGGTACATTTTATTTTACATACAAATACATAAAGAAATAAAATTTATTTAGATTACATAAAGTATAATTTATAAATTAAGATATAAATTATATCGCAGTTAGTTTGACTTTATAGAAAGAAAATTGTCTTTCTCATTTTATAAACAATTTCAGAAATTATAAATAATTACCTGATGACTTTCGATTGCATTACGTTTCTATGTCGATAGTAAATGCAAACTGAATCTGAAGTTTAGTTTCCTGACGGACTGTTCTTTTGTCAAATATATTCATGAAGAGAATTTCCAATAAGTTTCCAATAAATTTCCAATAAAGTCATTTTTAAACATGTAGATTTTTTTGTAATCAATTGTACCTCGCGTTTGGTATCATACATGTACAGAATATTACAGTAAGGTCTGTATGACGGGTTGCTTGTTCATGGGCAGGCGCAAAATCGTTCGCAACTAAATAGGCTTTGGTGGCACGATCACTTGCACATTTTTTTGTCAATAAATTGCGCCTCAAGTTGTAATATAATTGATGTGCAATCGATTATGCCGAAGCGTAGTTGTTGTGAATGATCCTGCGCGCCTGCACGAATAAGCAGTCCGTCACAGTAGCGTTGCTGTAACACCCCTTGACAATGGGTCAAAGGGAAATTAGATTGTTTCGATCTCGTCTCTCCCACATATACGCATAATTTACCCACGCGTATGTTGCACATGTTGTGTATATTTGTATATGCGGTTGCACGCATATATATATATATATATATATATATATATACGCGATATATATATATATATATATATATATATGCATATAATATGGGATCTTGAATAGGATAGCATGACAAAGAGATTGTATTAGATTAACACAATGATATTTGATCGCTAATGCTGTTAAGGAAGATGATGA